TGTCAGCAGCAGACGGAGAAGTACAGCCCTGGGGCGGGGGGGGGGTGGGGGGTGGGGGGCAGCGGAACGTTATGTGGCCCTGAAAAGAGAACAGGCTGCGGACCCGCCCGGCCACACAGACGAATCCCACAGACGGACGATAGATGGATGAAGCCAGGCCCCAAGTGACACAGACCGGATGATTTAGTGGGTGAGGCCAGGGGCTGGAGGCCCTAAGTTCGTGAGCTGAGTCTGGTGGCCTCAGAGGGCTCCTGTGCAGGGCCTGGGCTTTGGCGGGTGCTGGGATGTCCGTCTGCCTGTCTGTCTGTCTGTCTTGTCTGTCTGAGGTGGGGCTGCAGAGAGACTGCTGGAGGGTCTCTGGCTCACATCTTTCCCTGAGATGCTGGCATGTGTCTCTCCCAACTGAGTCTCAGAATACTGCGGCCCTCGCCCTGGACAAAGTCTCGTGTGGTCTGGCCTCCTCAACCCCTCTCTGGCTTCATCTCTCTCCCTGTCCCCCTTACTCGTTGGCCCCGGCCACCTCCGGGTTCCTCGCATGCTAGACAAGTTCTTGCCTCAGGGCCTTTGCGCCTGCTGTTTTCCCCTTCCTGAGACCCTGTTCCCTACGTATTCACCCTCTCTTCTCCAATTCTCTGCTCAGACATCACCCTCCCTGAGCTCTCTGTTCAAAATGACACCACCCCACTTTGGCGAGGCCCTAGGGGTCTCATAGATGAGAGGGCCAAGGCTCAGAGAGGTTAAAAACTCATTCAAAGCCCCCAGCACCAACGCTGGCTTCATTTCTCTCTCTGGGAGTCGCCCCAACTCCCAGCTCCTGGGCCCCACTCTTATGTTGCCATGGTAACCCAGTAGCCTGTTTTGAAAAAAGGTGGGGGGGGGGACTGAGACTAGAAGAAGAGGTCTGACCCCTGCTTTGGCCACCAACCTCAGTTCTCCCAGTAACTTCCATCTCTGTCTGGAAGTTCTTCTCCGAGTCTAACCCACAGCCTGCCCCCAAAACACGCCCACGTACTCAAGGGCTGGGAGCCCGCGCCTCTGGGGGAGGGAGGCAGAATGTTGGCAGAACATCCCTGAGGAGTGTGTGTGTGTGTGTGTGTGTGGGCGGGGAGAGGGGGGATTCTTAAAGGGCCACCGCACAATTAGCCCCCTCAGCAAGGCCCCTAATGATACATCTAATTAGCAGCCCCCTAATTAGCAACAACTTAGGCATAATTACAAACCCACCAGGATCCAAAGCAAAGACTCACGCTCTTCTCCCTCCCTTCTCCCCGGCTTCCAGGAGAAACGAGGGCCACCTGGGAGTCAGGAATTCATCTCAAGCATCTAACTCCCTCTCTCATGGGAGGGCCAAGGCCTGGAAAGTGCCCCCTCACATCTAACCACCTGTCCCTCCTGCTGAGGTCCTCAAGGGAGGCCAGAGTGAGCCAACGAGGGGGGGGGG